CTGCAGCTATTCTTGGGTCTCTTCATACATGTTTTTTTTTCCGCAGCTTCTGGTTTGCAAACCTAATGCCCATACAGTAGATCACCTCAATAGGTGGCCTCTCTCCATATTTTGTTTCTCAGTCATGACAGCCTCATTCCTTAAAATTTAGCTGTTATGTTAAGCCATGCATCCTCCTAAATATTCTGAGGTCTCAGTACTGCAATGTCCTGGTCGTGTGTCCTCATGGCATATTCACAGCCAGTTTGGGAATTCCCACCAGAGTTAAGTGGCCATATATTACCAAGTTTTGTAGCTGAAACCGTATTTTTCAGACTGCTGTTAATCACTGTGAGATCTTGCTTAGTGCTTTTCAATCACTCAAAAGATGTAAAGCTCAGCAAGAAAAAACACTCTTTGCACCAATATAATCTGCTGAAATTACTTTCATGTTGGTAACTGAATTGCTTTTTTGAATGGTATATGAGGTGATGAGTCTATCTGGAGCCACTAATCTGTGGTCCTGTTCAAAAGTAGTTTCCAGACTGCTGTAGAAACACAGGGTCAGTACAGTTGGCATCTCTGCTTGCTAAAGAAGGCTTGTATTTCAGATAACCCATCCTACAGTGTTAGGGAAAACACCGAGAGATCTGGCTGGAAGCTCAGTGTGGAGATCATGATGTGTAAACCCATTTGATAGGTCTGAAATAGGAACAGTCTGGGGCTGAAGTAAGGAGGTAAGCTGCTTGTTACACGAATGACCTTTGACTGAATAAAATTGCTTGTCATTTTAGAGTGTCTGATCCTGAAACTCTTGTATTTTCCTGACATAATTGGTGTGATTGTGCACTGAGAACTGTGAGCTTTGTGATCATCGCTCTTCTTCTAACACTTCCCATGACCATGCAGGTAATTACTGAGGTGTCCTGGGGGCTGATTGCTTTATGGCTTCCAGAGAAAGTTGAGGTTGGCTGCTTTGACAAGGTGCAGAAGCTGTAACCTTGAGCCAGTGCCTTCAGCATCCCAAGTCCTTTGGATTCTTCTGTCATTACATGTTGGTGAATTGTAAAGAAGAGAGAGCAGTGAGCTCCTGAGGCTCTATCCTTGCTTTATCCATACTTTACTGTGGTATACTCAGCCCAGAGGTTTTAATTAAACTCACTTATCTGCAAGCTTCAGAGTCAACAAGACATGTCATGAAAACAGGTGTACTGAATTCTGTAACAGGCACTCTTCTCTCCTCTTCTCATGAGCAACTGGAGTAGAAACTCAGAGCTCTCAGGGTCACATCTAGCTTAGAAAGGAACATTTAACCAGGAGCTCAGTGTTGATATTCTCAGTGTGACAGGGGATGTTTGGAAACTTTGAATTTCATTGCAGTGTATGACTGAAATCACACTTCTCAAATGTGCTCATTAGCCAAGGGTGTGACAACGCCCTCACCAGAGAACACTTTTCTCAGATATTAGCTTTAAGATAGCAGAGTTCTGAAAGGAAACCAGTGTCACACTTTAGACACCCAAAGATAAATATTTGACTTTGCTTACAAGTGATTGGTAGCACAAGTGAAAGGCTTAGAGGCACAGTGTGTGAAAACCATATGCTTTGGCCAAATCAGAGATCTCTATTCTAGGATAAATCATTTCACTTCTAAAAATAATTGGTAATGTCAGAAGTGCAAGCAAGGGGTTTAGCCTGAGCTAAATAATAAAATTATTTAGCCTGATAAAATAATAAAACCCAAACATCAGCAAATCCAGCACACCTCCTAGTATTTTTCTCCTGTAAGGGCTAATATGCCTTCATATTTTTATAGAAACAAAGATGAGTTTGCAGAAGAAGAGGGCAAAACATTGTGTTTTATACATGTAGAAAGTATCATGCTAATCATGCATGTGATCTTTTGCTAAATCACTGGGCAAAGGTCATCTTAGATTGCCTCAATGTAACATGAAGTAGGTACAGAACTGTGGTTATTTCCTAAAAGGATGGATCAGTGATTGTTGTAGTTGAGCCAAAGCTTAAGTCACATTTGAAACTTGCTAGGTGAAATGCAATTTTCTGTTCCATTTGTTACATGTATCATTGCTTTGCTTTCCCTCAAGAAGGGAACAAACATAAATCTGAGCAACGTTTATTTACCAAAGCAGAAGCTAAGGCAGAGATTTATAGACTATGTCATCTTCTCTGAAGCAGAAAATAGAAAGGCCCAAGAGAAGCCAAGGAAGGGCGTATCACAACTTTCAGAAGTCTGGACTTACTTGTTTGCTTCTGCACTTTAAATCTGAAGGCAATATATAAAGCAATGGACAGGTAGGGCCTGCAAGCTCTGTGAGCCCTGAAAGATACTCGTATCTGCAGAAGGACTAAAAGAAATCATGAAATAGCAGTAGTGTAGTGCTAACAGCTGATATATGCAAATAAAGTATTTACACATACAGGTACAAACACGAAGAGACACAGAGAGTGGGTGATAATCCACCAACTTATGCCAAGGCTTAGAAAAGCTGCAGTATGTTGGTCTCAATGATGCGTCTGAAGTACTGTACAGCATAGGACTGTGGTGCTCTGGACACCAGGTCCATAGGTTGAAGCGCTGGGGCCACCAGCGAGAGATTCATTATGTGAGAGGGGAAAGAAATTGCCCCTGTGGTTAGCCTGGCTCAGGAAAACCAGCTCTGCCTGGAGGAATCGACCTCCAAGGCAGCACATGCAGGTATTCTCAGAGTTTTAAGCCCTTATCTGAAAGTTCCCAGCTTGTTTTCCTAGATACCTTTGACTGACAGAGCAGCATTTTCTCTTTAAACCCTCGGGCAGCAACAGCCTCTGAGATGCCCTTAGTTACAAAGACACAGCAGAGCTCAGCCAGATAAGCAGATGTCTCAGGGAAAATACTGCATGGACATGGTCATGGTCCCACCCTGTAAAGCAAACCTGACCAATACAACCTTGTTGGCTTAGGCTGAAGGGCCTAAATCAGCACAAACTGAGGAAAAACACAGATGGGGTTTTGCTTACTTTATGTCTGGTTTTGGTTTTACATTTGAAACATTTTTTGTTTAAATAAGGTACTGATATTTCTTGTGCTCGATAGGCTATAAAGAAATTCCTAAAGTAAGCTAATAGCAGTTCTCATGCAGATAGAAGTTTCATTTGTGGATTGAAGGGAAGTTTTGCTCCTGAGGCTTGCTGGGACATCATCCTTCTTCCCAGGCACCTGTGCTTGGTTTCTTATGCTGCGGAGACCGCTTGTAGCTGTGCTAAGAAGAGTGGTCTTGCTGCAAGATTTGATGACTTTGGGTTTATCTATCCCATCTGAAGCAAATCAGCCTCTTGATTCTGAACCTATATGATTATTTAAAACATACAATGTTTATTGCCACAGCACAAATGGCAAGTATGTTTCTGATCTATCTTGACAGCATTCAGATTTATGTACCAGGTGCTGTTGTGGTTGTTCTCTGTCATTTGCAGGTTTAACTATGAAATGTAACTTGAATGCCAATAAAAATATACATTCCACAGACCCATTCCAACAATCTCCAGAGCTTCATATATGCTTAAAGGACTCAAACTTGGCTGAGTCAATCTGAAGACTCATTATTCATAAAATAATTATTTGGGTTTTTTTTGCCTGCATTTCACTTTACATCAAGTAGAATAAATGGAATAAATGACTCCTTTCACCTGAAGCTAAATTTCCCCCCCCCAGAAACTGAAAGCTAGATTGTGTCATCTGGGGAAGGAGTATGACTCTATCAGCCATACATCCTTTACTGTGTGCATTTCTCCCAGCTGATTGCCAGATATTTTGATTGCAGTAGTTACCTTCTCCTATGATCAAAGTCAATACATAGATCAATACAGCTCTGAAGTGTCATGTTCCAATCTACAAGGCATTTGTGTATCAAAGGTTCTCAAAAGGGATTGCCAAGGTCTCTTTTCAGTTTCTGAAAGCCACTAGAGAATAAATATCTGCTTTGATTATGCTCCCTAGTTTCTTGGATTCCCTTCACACTCCCCCAAATTAGAAACTGTTTGCAGCTATGCTCTTTCCACTTCAGATTTTTCCCTCTCCTGACACTTGGAGAAGCATCCTTGGACATGCTGTTTTCGAATGTTCAGACTGAGCTTGGCATTATTCTTTTGGACCTCTTCAAAACAGATGAGGTTCTGCTTATGGTGCTCAGATAAGAAATTTTTTTTAGGTCCTTCTTGCACACAGAAGTTCAGAGGGTCCCTGAGCCTGGAGGGAGCAGTAACTGGCATCACTCATACAAGATCCTTGCTAGCAGATGTCCAGGAACTACTCCTGTTGCGATTGGAAAGGCTGAAGTCACATAACAGGCTATTATCACAGGATGTTTGGGGATATAGCTAACAGAAAATGAGGACTCAGCAACCTCTGAATCATACTGAAATGAAGGAGCTGTCAAAGGCACCTCCTGTCCTCCCCAGCACACTCCTGAAGACGATATAACCTAGCTGTGAATTAGCTCTTGGCAGGGAAGGTGGATGAGCAAATGAAGCATCATCTTTCCTGAAGAACAACAGGGGAATGAAAACACAACCACCAAGGAAGATGTACTTACTGAATTATTTTGGTATTGTTTTTAACCAAGCTAAAAATGAGGATAAACTGTCTATGAAAGTGATATAAGGAATAAATGTTTGCAAGTTGGGCATATATAGAAACACAGAGTATGATGTGGCGCATGTAGGGTCCGCTGCTGTTCTTGCTGCATTGAGGAAAAACATGGTATGCACTTATCAAACCAAGATTGTATGGAGGGGAATATGAAGATTTTACTCAAATCAAGCACCCACTGCCAATGTCACCATCTGTGGAGTGACATTTAATCCTAATAAAATGCTTGCAAAATAACAGTAGCTATAAGCACAGCTCAAAAGTTTGCCAATTGTAATATTTTTCATAATATGACATGTAAAGTTTTACAAATTCATACCTAATAGATTGTAAGATAGAAGCAGTCTCAGTCAGGATTGTGCTAGTTATGCATATCATAGAAAGGCAAATTGAAAAACCTTGGGGAGGGCGGAAAGAGGATTGGCAACTCCCATTCAACACATCAGTGAAACTTGGTGTTTACTACCTGACCTGTCTTTCCCTGGGAGCAGGATGTGTAGTTGAGAAAAAGCAGCAGCTACTGTAGCCAAAGAAACTTTAAGTTAGAAGTTAAGAACAACCTAAACCGAAGTACATAGTAGTTGAGATGTTAAAGGCACTAATGAGGATCTTTATTATTAGTTTTGGTCTTAATACTGGGTTCTTTTATTCCATTAACAGAAAACAGGATTTTCATATCTTACCATTATTTGCCTTAACATATTTACAGTTTCGCAACACAAGTTTCACGATACCCAGAAGATACTAGGATACCAAACCATAGATGTTGCATGGGCATATGTGTGAACTGGCCCTACAAAAGGCATGAAAGGATGATATGTACCCCGGTGACCAGAAAACTTACTGGCAGGCTGTGGAGTAGGAGGGAACATGCGTGAGCCCCAGATGCTGTGAGGGAGTTTGTGATAGTTTGTTATTCAGAAAGGAACTTAAACTAGTGACTGACATTAACAACACGCATATGCTATAAATTGTTATAAAACATGCAATTCTTCATAGAAAGCCTTGTTTTGACACCAGAAAGTTCTGTTATTGCACACACAAAGTAGGCACATGAAATGATGAAGAATTTTTTGCCAAAAGACTTCAATAAACTGCAATTGTCATTTTTTCACTGGATATGTCACCGCAGAAAAGCCACCCATTCCCCAGACACCTACACTTCTGACACTGTGGCACATTTGAAGCCTGACAAGCAAAAGACAGTGTTGGGTCTGATGGCTGCTGGTCTGTGATACATTTGGGAATTGTGATATCTCCAGGGCACAAGGAAACCAATCCAGGTGTTTTTGCCACTATTTCGTTCCACAGGTTTGACGGATGGCTTGTGGCTTTTTCCTAGCAGATGAAAGATCTAATTGTGCCAATTGCAAGTACTCAATTTATTAAAAGCCATCCATTATCTTTCATTTGAATATTCCTAATTGATCTTGCTTGTACTTCGGTAATTGAAACACCTTACTTAAAAACCAGAAGCCTATTATGAGCTGTCCCATCTGCAGGTAGTTATAAACCACTCTTGACATGCTGCTGTGTATTTCTAACATAAGTGAGCACTTCCAGGTACTCTCCTAATTATCAGATTGGGCCTCTTATGAATGTTGCATTAATTATGGTGTAAAAATGAACTGTAGGCCAAAATCTGCAGGTAATTAGAGCATATAATGTAGTGCCAAAGTTAACATTAATGAGAAAGAAATGGAAATACAGAGTTAATGTGAAAAAAAGGGAAAGTGCCTGTCTTCTGCAGCATGGCATTGAATGGCCTCACTCATTTGCTTACTTGTTTACCCTGGTGTTTATAACTAGCAAATGGATTTAACTCACTGGAAACAAATAGCTCCTTTGTCAGTTTTAAGGTTAGCTTATTTTCTGTTCTTAATTGCCCAAGTTTTTGTTTCTCTCGTGAAAACATTAACTCTTACAACATTAACAAGTTGAAAATCTGTCATGGAAGAAGTCTACATCTCTGGACTGACTCCATCATCTTGGTTGCATTAGCACATGAAGTAGTCTCTTGACGAAACCACTGTAGAAACACCCTTTGGATGGCCAAAATTAGGCTGGATAAGGTCATGGCAAGTCATACAGCCCCATCAGCATAGAGGTGGCATGGGGTAGCTGATAATCTCTGTCATAGCTCTGATGCATCCACTGGACTTGTTAGAATGAGAAAAAAGGTACCTTTTAGCCCAGGTTCCTGGGGACCCTCCTGGTGATGCCTTCTTCAATCCTGGTTCACTCTGACATGAGATCCAAGGCTGCTTCTCCAGACTTTGCTCCAGCAGCTGTAAACAAAAAGCAAAGCAGGCTTATTTTTAAATTATGGCACCATATGCTGCTATTTTGCAGTAGTCAAGTTCAGTGCTCAAGGTGAGGGGTGTCTTCAAGCCCTCCAGCAGGGTCAGGAGGGGCACTAGCTAACATCAGCTTTCTGTTTAAAGATCCACAGTGCTGCTCAGCACCAGGAGCTGGCAGGGGCAGAGCTGGGGGTGGCAGTGCCCCAGCAGGTCTCCATGAACAGGGTGGAGGGGAGCTGGGAGTCGTTATCCCTCACACATCCCAAGTTGGGTGTTTTTCTGCATAGGGGAGCTTGTGATTCTCATCCTTGCACCCAGCCAGAGGTGAGATACAAACTGCTAATCTTTCTAGTGAGAGGAGAGCGTGATGCATTTGGGATGTGCTGGAGGAACGTGGCAGCTATTGTTCTGACACGATTACAACTGCTAATGGTATAATGAGGCTGATTATTTTTAATGTGAGTTTTGCTGTTTAAAAACTGCCACGTTTGACAGCTCTGGAAGGCACAAGCACCTGCTTGAGCATGAAAGGGAAAATGCAACCGGGCCATGGGAGCAAAGGGCAACAGCAATGAGAGTTTTATCAGCTTTCCAGGAAACAGAAACTTCATTCTCAGTTAAGTGTTGCTGCTTCGGGTCAGGCTGATAGAAAAAAACCTCTCTGGCCACAGTGATGGTGTGTTTTAGGTACGTGGTTATTTGGTTCACTTAAGGTTCAGCTGAGCCCTGTTGGTTCATGTCTGAAAAGCCACCAGGCCACCCGCATCCCAGTGATTCTGGCTCACAGAGGAGACCTGGTGACCTTCACCCAAAGTATTAAATTTTCCAATGGTAGCACTGCTTAATACTGACAAATTTAGCCTGTCCAGCTGCTTGCTACTGAAGGTTTGGTTTCATAAGACAAGAGCTAGAAACTGGGTAGGCAGGAAGATAAACAAGCTATACACAATATGCTCACTGAATCACATCCTGTATTTCTCACCTCTTCCAGGCCCCACTCAGAGATTGTTTGCTGTTCTTACTTAAAAGTTACTAATAATCATCTCAGGCATGTCATAGTAACATCCATGTTACAGTTAATAACTGGACAACAGTGACAAACATCAAATGAATGTTCAGAGCAATCTCCACCAGATGCAATGTAAAATAAACTAGGTCAGTGTAGGTCTGGTCAAACAGGCGCAGTGCCTAGCCAGGCTAGTTCATTCCACTTGTCTGTAATCATGTCAGGTAAAAGTGAGATGCTGAAGTCTAAAAGAGGACACCAGTGTTACCTGGTCAGCAGAAGAGAGGGCAGCTGCGGTGGGCGCTGCTCTGTGCAAAGGGAGCATCCTGTCCCGACACCAGCCCAGCATCACAAGCACAGCACTGCAGAGCTGCAGCGAGACCATTACAGCACAGGAGGCTTCAGCCTTTTGAGTAAGAAGTGCTAAAAGAACTAGAGGAAAAGTGGAATCTAATTATTGTGACAGCAATGAGAAACAGGAGGTCCAAAGCAAGCTCAGCCATCTCCCTGTTTTTACTTCTCCAGCCTGAGAGCTGGAGTTACAGTCAGTGACCCAGAGGCAGGATATTCCCAGCCTCTGAGGGTGCGAAGGATTTAGTAGAGGAAAGAAGTTCTTCAATAAATAAACCACCTTTCCTACAGATGTAGATTGCTCTGTCCTGGAAAGCATTTCTGACATTTTAAAATTGGAACAAACTATTTTTATGTGATTAATTGCTGCTGCTGGTGCACCATAGCCCTGAACCAAGCTATGATTTAGTTGTACCAGACACATTCATGTTTGAAATGACACAGTGCTTGATCCAAAGAGGCTAAAAATCTAAAGACAAAGCATACAGAGTATTATTACCTCTATTTTATCCACAATGAAAGAAACACCATGGATTGCCCACAATCAAATAGGAAAAGCACCTCTGAAGTCTTGAGCTGACCTGAGTGCCCAGTAATCTTCCATTAACAGTTTCTTAAAATAGCTCACTGAAGAACTTAGCTGATCTCTGTTCTTATTAGCACACACTTAGCATTTGTCTATTTGCTTAGCATTAATGTACTCATATTCCTGTTTTTAACTTTTTACGTCTATCAAGAATGTAATTATCATCTCAAGAGGTTGTTATTCAATACAATGAGCCATTATAACATTATGAAAAAGGTTTTAGCCAGTACCCAGAGATAATGACATATAAAAATATGTTCCTTCAGCCCTATTTTTTATTGAATTTGACTCTGTTTCTTTGCGGATCTATGTGAAATGCCTTGGCTGACTGAGGCCAGGCTCCTAATTAGTTATCTTCATTAATCAGTCTCTGTCCAATCTATTTCCTGTGCCAAGTGAAGGGTTGTGTTTAGCACTCTACCAGAGGGACCAATATGATTTTCCTCCATTCACTGAACAGGGGTCTTCTGAGCAAAGGACCAGTGTGCTGGGACTTAGCTGTTGAAGTTAAAGTAGCTTTAATGGGTTTCTATGATTTTTCTTAAACCAAACTCATTAATAGAGCCTGGCAATAAAAAGAATAATAATGAATACTTGCAGTTTGAGGGAAACAAACCGATTGGGTCAAATTCAGCAAATGTGTTCAGCAGGAGAAAATGAAAAGGAAACAAGATGCTGAAGTGTTTTGACATTTTATTTCAAAACCATATTTCAGTTTATTATTTGCCTGGACTTTTCAAAGGAGCTAAACATCCTCCTTAAAGAAGATATGCTTCTAGTGTAAACACACAGAAATAAATGAACTAGAGAGGATTCTGGTCTTGTTTTGCCAGGAAAATAAAAACAAAAAACATTTCTATTGTACATCAACCTAAAACAGCAGTGCCTGTGTGTGGGTGCAGTCATGTATCCACCAGGCATTACCTGCACACTTCTGCTTTTGGATGACATCCCTCACGTAGCTACAGTGACTTGCCTGATACTATACAGGAATACATGGCCCGTGTTTGACTGAGGTGGCCTGGGAACCTGTCCTGGATCTTGCAGGTCATTAGAGCAAGTAGCAGCCAGAGGTGGCTTGTAAAAGTGAGAGAAAAGTCAAGTTTCAGCTAAGGAAAACATCCTTCACGAACAATGCAACAATGGAAGAATAAAGGAGAGAAGTAAACGTATCTAGATGCTTTGTTTCCTGTGACTTGTCAGAATCAAAGAAAGTAGTTTTTTTTCCCCAGCAGCGTGTTTCTCTCACTCAAGGGCTTTGCTTACTTGCAGCACTCTTTGCTAATTTTAAAAGGAGGAGGCATGTAGAAGTCTTATAAAATGTACTGAAGGCTGGATTATGTGGGCTGGAGACAGCTGGTTTTAAAACCTCTAGCTGAAATTTAGTAAAGAATGATGAGAGCTTAGTTCCCGCTCCCAAGGTCTGAGCAGCAATATTTGATTTAAAGATAATTAAGATATTCAGCATAACTGCTCAAGAGTGGAAAAAAAATAAACACTTGTCATGAGATAGAGACAAATTTGTATTTACATTTGGCTACAAAGGACTTTAAATTCTACATTCCTGTCAGATCTGTATAAATAATTTAGCAATCCAAATGTTTTTCTCAGATCCGAATTTTCACCATTTAGCTGCAATGGGAAAACTGAACTTTTGATGATATTTCTGTGGATTTTACCCATGTGTTTCCCAAAGGGCTGCATCATCTCAGAGGAGGAATGGTCCACTGGTATTTGCTTCTGTTTATCTAAAAGATTAACTAATAAGTTAAGACTAGGACAGACTTCAAATTTGGCTATGGCATTTTAAAAACTTAAGAATATTTTCTCTTTGGTGCTGATGCTGCTTGAGAAATCAAGACCAGTGACTAGGTGGGTTTTACACATAGATAAATTACGAACCTTCCCCAAGACTGGAACAGAAGACACTGAAGGCAAAGGACTGCCCCTGTTGTAAGGCTCATTGCAGAGGATGGATGTCACTTTCTTTGCCACGTTACTTGCTTTCCTGGGCCTGGCTGCAAGGGGACAGACAGATACCGACCATGTCTGGTCGTCTGTTTCCCCACCAGAGCTCCAGTAGGCAATTTAGCAAATCATCTACCCCAGCCACTTTACCCAGATAATCATACCGTATCTGCAGGCTGTCAGCTTGCAATGAAGAGAAATCAGCAGAGGAGGAGGGGATGGAGACATCCGTCTGCAGTGCAGCCTAACAGCCCCCAGCCAGGAGCAGCAGCCAGCCATACTGACGGCAGCACCATCTGCACGCCTGGGTTTATCTGGTTTGAAATCCAGCTTCCTCCACCCTGCTTGGTTGGGAACACACAAGAGACAAACATTAAGTGTATCATCTCTACAAAGTTAGATGGAAATATATCTGATATTTGGGGGAGTTCTCTTCGAGCAGTTTTCACTGTGCTTTCTGAGTTCATGCACTCTTTTTATATTCATTGGTTTCTCACACATTTAGATGAGAGATTCTCTTTGAATTGACTTCTGTTGGACAAAGCAGATCACAGGGAGTCATGTGGAGGTGCAGTGAAAGACCTACCTTTATTAAACTCACCTTTGATAAAACGCTGGTCTCCTCTGGCTTGCAGGTCAACCAGATGCAGCACAAAGATGATACACAAAAGCTTAAACCTTATTGCTAGGAAATCCTGCAAGTATCTTGCTCATCTCAGAAACAGGAAGAAATGAGAAACCCACAAAGAAAAATCAGGAGCTATTCATCCTGGAAGTATTAGATCTATTGCTAGCTTTGTAACATTGAATATGAAACTCATTTACATTGTTCTGCAATGTTGATATGTATCAATAAAACAGAGCAAGCTTGTAATTTCTGCTTCCATTTTGCCACAGTAATCATGTTGTGTAGGTAGGGGGTATTCTTATCCTGCTATAATGATTTTCTACTGATGGCCAAATGTGGAAGTTCATTTTAGTGGCTGGAAGCATGAGTCATTCAGCTCAGAGACTGCATTTATGAGAAAGCTTTTAATTTTATGGAGTCTATGAACCTGGTAATGGTGAGAGGGACAATTCTGTACTGGCCTTTTGAAAATTAAAATCAAATGTTTCATCAAAATACATTTAATTTGGATTGTGTGTTTGGATTTTTTCAGCAGGAAATGAGAACAAAACAACATCTTTTGCTCTCATTGCATTTTGGCATTTTGTGTATTTAAGATTTAAATTTTCCTCTTTCAAATTGAAAAATGTCACAGATTATAATATCAAATTCCAGGGTTTCTTGGATTTTATGTTGATACCCCTCTCAGTTTTGACTGTTTCCAAAGATTTCCCAGTTTTCAAAAATGTCAAAAACATCTTTTCAGGGAGACAACAGCATCGTCATCTTTATCCTTAGCTCCTGTGACCCTGAAAGGCACTCCAATGGCACAGGCTCTTTCCTGCTGTTCTAGAAAACATGTCCAAGTTTATTCCTGGCCCACTGTGATTCAAGGTGCTCTGTGTGAACTTTCTTCGGCACATCGATCATAGATACGGTTAAATAATGATACCAACCAGAAACCATACTGCATTTAATGGTATCTCTATCGTCTACAGGGAATCATTTACTATGGCTTAGTGACTGCCATAAAACACAGAATTAAAAGACTGTTTTCTACCTGCTCCTGGAACGGGAATAAAGTAAGCAGATGCATCACTGTCTGGAATAACTAACAAACAGTCATCTTAAGCTGTTCTCTCGTTCCCTTTCTTTTATAGTGCATTTATGAATTATGTTGTTTGCATTTATAATTATGGAACTGAACAGACGGTGGAAGGCTTATTTCAGAATGATGTGTTCATTAAAATAACCTACTCTGCTCTGCCAAATGATTGTTAACCATAAACCCAATTGGACATTGAAGAGAGTTATTTATTCTTTTTCTGTAAGTCCATCAGAAAAAAATGGGGCTTTGTGAAATGGACACGATAGTAAGTGTGAAGCTACAATAGTGTTGCATACATCCCAGATAGGAAACCGCAGAGGAGTTTGGCAGCTGTGACTTAAAGGCAGAGAAAGATAAATTGTGGACCAACACAATTTTCAAATCTAAGAAAAGCTTAAATTCTTTATTCAATTTGGAAGCTCAATTCCACTTAAAACATGGCTCCAGACAGCTTCTACCTATGTGCAAACTCTTCCTAGGGTCTATCGTCATTACGCAGTTGAGTACAATAATGGTAGATTCCATTATTAAAATGGCACTCTCTGCTCAACAAAGTGTACATCTTCACAGTTTATCACTTACAAGTACCACTTACTTTTACATAGTAACATCTTGTCTTTCTCTAGTCCCAACAATTCTAGGGGGTGCTTCTGCAAATAACAAGATGTTATTTGCTTCGTAGTGTAACTGGGAGTATTCATCACCTATTTGCCTTCCTTCTTGGAAATCCTATTATACTGGCTTCACTTTTCAAGCTTCAAGTATGTGATGGATCTGGAAACAATTCTTTTCATTTCAACTCCTTTGCAATATTTTATATCTGAGACCTCCTGCCCCACTATTTTTACATCAAGACTTAAGGATCTGATCTGAGCACAGGTGAAAGCAGAGGCACAGTGTCAAGATTTCTTTGTTCAGATTGAAGGAATCTCTGCTTCTCCAGTTCTGGACATTATCCAGGCTCTGATTCCTGGCCCTCAAATCTCCTTATGAATATGTTCTACCCAGGCTACCCCAAGATGCCACTTGTGGCAGATCATCATTCAGTGGGCAGTCTGAGGGCTGTGCGCTGGTGAGCTGCTCAGAAAAAAAGGCTACAGCACTCCTGTCGTGGTTTAAACCCAGTCAGGTAATTCGTTCGCTCACCTTCCCCCCTTTCTTGCCCTCCCCCTGCTCCCAGAGGGACAGAGAGGAGAATCGAAAAGAATGCAACTCCCACAGGTTGAGATAAGAACAGTTTAGTAACTAAGGTATAACACAAATCACTGCTGCTACCACCAATGATAATAATGATAAAGGAAATAACAAGGGAAGAGAATACAACACCTCAGCACCAGCTGACCGATAACTCGCCCCCCAAGCCCGACCAAGCTCCGACCGATACCTCCTCCAACCCTGCAGTCTCCCAGACCCTCCGGCTAACTCCCAGTTACATCCTGGGCATGACCTGCTGTGGTATGGAATACCTCTTTGGTCAGTTTGGGTCAGGTGTCCTGTCTCTGCTTCCTCCCGGCTTCCCCTCCTCCCTGGCAGAGCATGAGACTCACAAAGTCCTTGGCCAAACCAAAACATCGCTATCAGTTCTGTTCCCAGGCCGAAAGTCAAAACACTGCACTGCACCAGCTACCAAGAAGGAGAAACATGACTGCTACTGCTGAACCCAGGACAACTCCTATGCCTTAAAGCTTTGCTCTTCTGCACCAAAGCAACTGGCATCTCTTGTACCCCGCGGCTGTGGCACAGCCATGGAGTCACCAGAATTTTGCAGGCAGAACTCAGGGGAAGCAGTGGAGAATGAGATGCAAAGGTGCAGGACTCCTGTCTGCCTCCCTGAGCCTGCTGGGACCAGAACCAAAGGAGAGAGGAATGGGAGAACAGTGGAAAAAAATGATTGGGCTCATTAAGAATAACCAGAAATATTTGTGTTTTCTGGGTTGCCTCTGCAACCATTGTCACTACCTTCGAAGGTGCAAACTGGCTGTACAAAAGCTGTTACTAAGAAGTTTTCTGGGGTCCTGGGGTAGTTTCTAGTTGGATATGAAGGAAGAAACATGTTCTGAAATGTTTCACTTGGAGTGCTGTCAATCAACAACTGGAGCAAGGAGAAAACAAAAGAGGCAGCACTCAGATGAGTGCTCACTCATGCAAAATTGCCAGTAATGCAGTGGTTAGATCAGTCACCTTGAGAAAAGGCAGAAAAAGGCCTTGAACATGAATTGGGAGCTGCTCTGTTTTGAGGTTTTTTATCTTTCTGTCTCATGAGAAGTTGCAGACTTGCTTCACATCAGAAACAGGAAAATATTTGAAACTGTGGCAATTTTGGGGGAGCGAGAAAAGCATTTCTTGTACCTCTGATTTTAGCTTGAAACTCATTATTTTTGATCTAGCAAGTAAGTCTCTATAAGTGCATGTTTCTCTGATGCTCTGACTTCCATTAAACATCCACTACAACCCATTAAATCTCCTAATTGTAAACTAAATGAGCCTGTAGGTTTTTTCAGGGATGCATTGTCTCCAAAAGGAGCTTGCCAGAGCTCAGCACAACAGATTTCTGCTCAGTTTGGACTGCAGCGCGCCACTGTCAGGGAAACATGAATGGATTTTGACTTTTTAGAGTTTCACTTTTGTTTAAATTTAACGCTTGGTTTGATTTGAAATCTTTCATTTGGAATGAAAGCAGTTGGCAAAAAGAATGTTAAACTAAAAATATTAATTTTCACGAAAACAGCAACAAATTGCAGTGCCTTTACAGAAAAATTCTGCTTGGCATTTTTTACAGAATTATTGGGGTTTGATTGTTTTTTAAAGACAAATTCATAGAAACTGGCACAAACTCGGGCAAATTTCCAGTACCACAAAACCTCCACATTTATTTCTTTACTTATTATTTCAAATTTTCAATAATGCCACAGTTAAAACTTGCTCCTTGCCTGACTCTGCCTGAATTCCCTGCACCAATCCAGCAGGGAGTCATTAATGAACCACCAGCCGCAAACCCCAAATCCCAGGACAGGAATGTCTGAGGGCTGCAGTTTCATTTCAGTTTGGGGCAATTTTCCTGAATTATGTGAGTGTGGGGCTAGTAGGAGACTCTCACAGGTAGAGCATCTATAAGGTCACTGGTATGGCCAGTGGTGGAGGATATTACAGACTTCAAATGATTTAGTATGAGCAGCTAAGAACAGTACTTACTTGAAATAATTTTATACAAGATTTTTCTCTTCTATTCTTTATTTAGAAACTCTGTCATTAACTATCCCGCATTTATAATATAAAGATTATCAAAAAGATTTGCCAGTACAATGAAACTTGGTGCTTATCAGCTTTGTGTATGATTTATGTCTAATCCCCAGACTTTGCAGCCATTTGTGTACCCAGCTGAGACCCAGGCTATCCTGGCAGTATCAGTAACACATACATACTACATAAATGTACCCATCCACCTACTTCTGCAGCAACACTGACCTCTTGATGTCTGAACATGTGTGCAAACTCTCTTTTCTCCCTGGTGACAATGTGTCATTCATTTTCCTGGCAGAGGGGCAGTGGATTTAGGTGGCTAAAGTCCCAGGGAACAGCAAGTTAACAGCTCCCTGTATCCACCCCAAAAGACAAACCCTTCCCAGCCCAGCCCAGGGACAGATGCAGAGCCTCACCTCAGTCTCCAGTGAATGTCAGGACAACAGGAACCACCTTCTGCCAGTTCAGAAATGGAAGTAATTAATAATGTAAGCAGGTGTGTTACTGAACTGAGAGCAGACAGCTGAGCATCCCCAGTGGCCTGGGATGGCTGCAGCTTCCTACAGCAATTCACCTCCATTCCACCTGAAGGCTTTGCTGTGCTTCCACAGTCGTAGGCATTCATTTTGTTCATTTTTCCTCTGCTGTTACTATGGCCCTTTAGGTAAAATAGTTTCTCCTGCCAGGGTTAAAGGGACAGAGGCTGCTGGGGGAATGCTAAGCCAAGCGTTTGTTCAGAGGCTTTGGGAAGTGCAGGGATTCAGGTGTAGCTGGGAAAGGCTGTCTTTGCTCTCAGTTTGTTATTAATGAGCAGTACCTTTTAATGCGATCCAAACCCTCACAGTTTCTGTACCTGCGAGGGGCACCTTGCCCTTTGCAGCAGCCACCAGGACTGACTGCCCACAGGCTGATGACCTTGGGTTTGCAGGGAGTTTAGGAAGGATGGACACGAGTGGTCAGAGCAAGGACTACCATTAAAAACCAGGGGTGTAATTCACAGGTAAACCAGCTGCAGAAGTGCAGGCTGGGCTTCCCCAGCACTTCTGGTGCAGAGGAGCTGTGGGTATGTGTAACCAGCGTAGGCAGCTTTACACAGATACTGCAAGCATGAAGGGCTGGTAGGAAGCATTTTTGGGAAAGACCAGATACCTTCCAATTCCCATCCATTCACTGCTGTCCAAAGAGTCCCAGGCACCATCTCCAGACAGAGGCTCCCTTCTGGAAACTGGACCAGTGGCTGCAGGCTGTGGGACAGGGGTGGCACACACTCCATCAGGGTATTGCTTCCCCTCCTCCTGGTCATGCTCTGCCAAGGAAATGGATGCAGTTAGGTTTTGTGCTCAGAGCCAGGAGCCCCAAATTGCACTGCCTTCCAGTAGACAAGCATGATCCTGGGGGACAAAGCTGGATGCCAGGGATTTGCCCATCAGGAGAGGGCTAAGTAGGGATGTCAGGCTCTGTGAAAACCAGTGACTAATTTTCATTACAGTAAGGGAAGCCAAAGACCAGCAATTTTTTTGGATTTGCTTCCTCAACAAGCTGTGCAAGTCGGTGTGTGGGACAGCTCTGCAGGGAGCAAAAGTGGAGAGATCACAAACAGCTGTTGCATCCCCTTGATGTTTTCTCCTCTGCTCTCTCCAAGTTCCCAGGATAATGCTGGAGTTCCTTGTTCTGGTCGTGGGTCTACAGAGGGTAAACCCACACAGCTCCCCTCTGCTGTGCTGAGAGCTAATTCAACCAGTTAATTAAAGAGTCCATTGGACTGTCAGAAGCAACAGGAGATGCAGAAGCAATTATCTCCAAATTGGTCATCATCACAATTAAAGTACCATTTGGCAAGTATGTGAATAGCCTGCAGCAGGGTCCCTTTATAGGTAGTAATGCCTTTTCATTATTGGGCTTTATTGCTGGGTGGTGGTGTTTACAATCTGGGTAAAGCTGTCAAGTGAAATGACAGAAACGCTCACCCCCAGTTCTGGGAGGAGTTGGTTACCGGGGGCAGAAGCAGCCTGGGATGCTATCTGTAATTCAGCTTGGTAGCTTAACATGCCGGTGTATACAAATCCCATCGAAGGAACTCATTAGGCGGGAAAGCAGAGCAACTAATTTGCTGCCCATAATTTATTTAATGCATTTAAACCTTTTTCATTTTTTTCCTGCTCACATATTGTGTCTTCCTCAGCTGTTTTCAATACTCAAACCTACTTGATAAATTCATCTTGAAACATTCAGCCCACACATGCAAGGTCCGAGTGTTGTGTTCTTCTTCTGGTCAGTAAGATAAATCTCAGGGTGCTTAGCTTCTCTGCTGGGTGGGATTTGAGGCATTTTAGCTGTGTGTTCCTCTAGGTGAGGCAAAAATGAGTGCAGCTTTGCTTTCTCTTTGAAGCTTGCTCCCCTTAGATACTGATGCCTGAAAAATTAATTGTGTTTTCAGAGAGTAGATCAGTTAGGATGTGATGGTGTGAAAAAAAAGCAGGCCTGTTATAATCCTGTCTTTTATCCAACACTAAATTGGTGCCCTGTAGCTGGTGGGTAGCTTTGAAGGGGAAAACTACAGTATGTGAAAACAATGCTGGCAGCACAAACCCCTGCCAGCAGAGGATTCCTGTAACAGTTTCTTGGAGGTGCTGGTAAGATTTTTAGGAATGATGTGCCAGCGCCAGAGCAAGACATCACCCCTGCAGTGTAGCCGTCGCACCCTGCATATGAATGCTCTTTCCTCCTCTCCTATCGTCCTCTTTCCCCACAGGGTAAACAGCTGGAATTGTTGAGCTAACTGCCAGAGGCTTCAGACTGACACTTTGTGCCACATGAGACCCTGGGACACCTTAATGACTTCTTTTTAGCTTAATGCATCTTTGTACCAAATGGCATCTCCTGCTAAATTGCTGATCTTGCACAACTGTTTTCTGACTACTGCAGAAGAGGAAGAAGAAGAAAGGTTTGGCTCTATGGATATCCTGTACGAAGTCAGCTTTCAGTGCCTGTCTGTTGTGCTTCTGAGCAAGTCCTGAGTTGCTCTGAACTATGTCTGCCTTGTTCACAGGGCAGGGGGTATCCTGGCTCTCATCCTTTGTATCACTGTTTGTAGCAGACCATGCTAGAGGTCTCTCTGCTGGATGGCCTCACACAATGTGCCATGTCTGACTTGCTATATAGAATTAAAATTTCATTATGACTTGTATGCTTCACGGTCATCTGATAGGAGTGTCTGTTCAGTGTTAGATGCAAAATGTCTTTTCTTGTTTCTTACATCAAGTCTGTATCTTGTCGGTAGAATTAGCACATTTATTGAAAGTTATGATCATTATTTGAAGTGATGGAGTACTAAAGGGGGATGTTCCGTGGATATATCTGCACATACAGACATCTGCATTAAGGCAGCCTAGCTTGACCATCCAGCATCCAGCAGTACATTAGGGGGTAGATTCCTCCAGGTATATTCACCAGGGAAACCCAGACAGGCAGTACAGTTTATACCCTGGCTTTCATTTTGAGTCCATTGCTGATCTACTGGAATTAATGGATAAGATATTTGTAGGATCTTCAGATCATCTACTTCAGACATTTCAGTGGCTTGTAAGCAGCTTAATTAGGAGCCTAAGTCCCAAGTACACTCAATGGAGAAAGAGATGCATCCAGATAATTAATACCAAATAAACTGATGTCGTAGGATCAGTTTTTGCATATGTAGACAATGAGGAGTTCCTGACCTTTTCTCTAATGATTATTCAATCAGATCCTGAGGCTGACAATGCTTCTGCTAACAGCAGAACAGGTATATTCTTCTATTTATTTTCTTAGGTTTTTTTTTTCTTTTTTTTAATGTTGATTGGGATGCAGATATTTCAGGTATGTCTTAGACATTTGTTACTAAGAGAAACCATACGCCTACATCTCTAAACACTCAGGAGAGGAAAGTCCTAACAGACACCTGATTCCCCCAATAGGCATTTGGACTAGGGAAAGGTATATGCATCACATGATACCTCCCAAGGACATAAGACCTGAAGAGCACTGGTAAGTGCTGTATTTAGTAAGACAATACTAGAGACTACTTACTCTTGTAAGTGGAAATGCTCTGAAATGTTGGTCTTCATCTCAAGTATTCACTTTCCAAGTTAGTCTGAAATGATCCTTGACATGCTTGTACTGAAGACATTAACTGAAGTGCCTGTAGCTTAGTTCGCCTGCAGAGGATCAGTGCTTCTTAGTTCTTCGGTCTGGTTCCTTCTCATTACCAGATGCACCTTAGATACATGAAAACCAACAGGTTCTTGGTTTTCAGCGATTGCCTTGACTGCATCAGACTGAAGATTTAGTCCTGTCATGGAACAAAGTAGGGATTCACATTTGCTTGATGTGGGATGTGGATATCTGTAAGATGTACTGTCTCTTAAGATGTACTTCAGGGTTTTTAAGAATTCATTTTACGTAAGCTTATCCTTTTAACTAGCATAAACAAATTGTTCTTTGTGTTTTTCCACTTTCAGGTACACTGTTTTACATAATGGGCATCATCAGGAACATGAGAAGCTTCCCATCCACAATGACCCTGAATCCCAAGAGTCCTGTTTCTAGTCACAGTCCTAGATGAGGAATAGCTCGGCTGAAGGGACAGATTCCTTTAGGATAACCAAAGGATTCATGGACAGCAGGACTTTATGAAAAATTATTCATCTGCATTGTCATGGTGCCTCCACCCCTGACTTCACATGAATATCCAGCTGCATGTAGGTAGATTGATGGGGGCATGGGAAGGTACATGAACAGAATGGCTGAGGAGGCTTTCCTGTATCTGCAAGGACAGCTGGCTATATGACTGTCTCAGAGCCTTACTCCAGGAGTGAGCTGATATCTGTCAATGTAAGGAAACAACACAGATACAAACCACCCAGTGCATGGACATGGGCTTCCGTTATTCCTTTCCAGCTGCCATCTGTGCACAAGCCATTTCTGTTCTGTGATATGACCTAAAAGATTGCAAGTTCTGGGTAAAGCCCTAACACAATGTGAGACCAAATGCCCGCTTTATCTGTGCAAGATCCTACCCAGCGGTGACTGGATACTGTCAGGAGAGAAACATCACCGTTTTCTTTAGCAAAATAAGAGGAAGTGTTTGCCCTTTGATTACAGTTACTGGTAAAAGGTCAGCACAAGCTGCTGATTCACCCTACCCTTCAGAGCTTTCTTTGTAAATGCTTTACTGTGCTTCCTGGCCAAATTCTTTGATAGAAGACTCATTGAGCATAAATAGTGCCTGACAAGCTGCAGTGGGACCTACAGGACATTTCACTGCTAACAGAAGTCTCTACAAGCACTGTATCAATCCAGCCCAGCTGCTAAAAGACAGCAGCCATCCTCTACCATTCAGAGGCCAGTGAAAGTGATGTGGCCCTCAAAGCCAGAGATATCCTCATCTGAGCAGACTTTCGGCATTCTTACCGAGAAGAAAGGTTGGCCAAGAGACAGAGTCAGTCTGTAATAGATCACCAAGTGCCATCTTGAAAGTTACACCATCTAAAAAGCTGCATTAAGAAGATAGACTTCTATTTGTGTTTTCCATCTTTATTTTTCTATTTGTTTCTGTTCTCTTCCAGTTGAAGTGAGAAGTTTCAAGACTTTCAAATATCCTCATATGCACACCTCTGTTTGCAAAGATCTCAGTCTTTAGCTGCTTCCTGCATGTAGATGTTGCTATGTTCCTTGTGAGCTGCTTCCACCTTTGCATGGAAAGGGTAGGCAATACTGTAGACTTCACAACTTTGGGAAGATGATATTCATGCAGTGGGAAGTATGCAGGATGAAGACTACAAGCCTCTACCCTTTTTAGATGAAGATCTAACCCAGAGATGCCACCCTGGGCCTAGAAAATAAAATCGTACTTTGTTATATTGTGTAATCATGTACAGATATTTTTAATGTAAAAAGAAATGGTGACATTATTTATTATTTTTTATCAGGAATGTGGTTTTTTTTTCATTAAAAGCTTCTAGACCCAGGAGCTTAACATTATATGTATTATTATTTAGTAATATTTCTGTTGCTATGTGACAGGTATTTACTGTAAAACAAACAAATCCTGCTTTGAACAAAAATGTTGCTCAGTAGGAAACAAAGTTGTGCATGGTAAGAGCACCTGGCTTCCTAATCATGGTGTCTGACTTCTTTAAACACTTCTTCCAAACAAAAGTTGCTGACAAAGCTTTACATAATATTCCTTTAGGATTCAGAAGGACACTGGGCAGAAACAGCTCTAATGAGAAGACAGACACTTACCAATGCAGAAAATCGCTAGCGGTTAGAAAGAGACAAACTACTGGTGTTTGTGGTTGTAGATGCCAATGGGAAGAACATGAGCTGTTTGAAAAGATATGGTGAGATAGTTTGAACCAATTCCTGGTTCACCATTAGGAACAGTTTGGCAATGATCTGTTTTTACACGGTTGTGTTTCCAAAAGAACTTGTTATCAGTTCAACTCTATTGTTGACACCAAAACAGAGCAGTGGGTGAAAAAATTGGCCATTATTGAAAGTCTGGAAAAAAATCCATCCAGGGCCACTTCATTCCCATGATCTACATCTCTGTGAAACTCCTCCCATGGGGTTTTATCTGGATTTGGATATGCAGGACCGCAGGAGAGACTGTCTTGATTTCACCTCAAGTATCAAATTTCCTAAAGAAATCCTGGAAAAGCTTTTTTCTCTGTCCCTATTAAAAAGCATCAATATATTGGTGTGAAATCACTCAGTGATATGGAACCCGCAGCATGGGGATGCTACAGTGATGGTGTTCTTTGTTTCTGCTGTTGTCCCTGAAGTGTTTTCTCTGATATTTTTATGTGCTTTAGTAATATATCTCTTCTTAATTTAAAATGAACTTCTCAACATTGTATTTTACTCATGGGCAATGTTCAGAAGGCTCTATCAATGAGATCAGCAGCTCACTAGCCAAAATCAGAGAATCATAGAATAGTTAGGGTTGGAAAGGACCTTAAGATCATCCGGTTCCAACCCCCCTGCCATGAGCAGGGACACCTCACACTAAACCATGCCACCCAAGGCTCTGTCCAACCTGGCCTTGAACACCACCAGGGATGGAGCATTCACAACTTCCCTGGGCAACCCATTCCAGTGCCTCACCACCCTTACAGTAAAGAACTTCTTCTTTATATCCAATCTAAGCTCTGATAATACAATCATCAAAAGCTCTGACAGAAAAGAAAGCCTCCAATTCTAAACACCATATTGGAATGAAATACTAAACACAAAAGGTCCATGTTCTGTGTCATCTCTGGCTAATTGCTCACTGGACTCAGTAAACCTGTCATGAATGACCTGGCGGCTCCTGCTGAATAAGTCAATAATCCTAGCAACGCTTCTGTGAACCTAGGAAATGATGATGTCCATCATCATCTAGTGGAAAGTGTCTGTGCCCATGGCAGGGAGGTGCAACTAGATCATCTTTAAGGTCTCTTCCAACCCAAACTATTCTATGATTCTGTGATCAATAATATTAGAATTTCTATGGAAAAGAAACTGTCCAATGGAAAGGACCCATACTCCATTTCCATTGCTAAAGGTAGCTGCTCCTGTAGCCTCTGGGTTCACCTTCTCATTGACCATTTTGGCTAGTGGTGTCAGAGTCTTTGCCTGTGCTGAATGATGTGTAATGCATTGGCTGTTTCTAAAAATAAAAAATCCTCTATGTACATTGCAGTAAATTCCAGCTCATGCTCATTTCTTGTACTCTTTTCACTCAAAATAGAAGATGCTACCAAGTAAGACTTCCCACCTGCCTCACAATATACTCAAACAGCTGTAACAGCAAGGGAGAATCTGGCACCATCACTCTGAAAATGCTGATGAGCTCTTGGGTCACCACACAAGTTCCTAATATTTATCTACCAGAACAGTCTCGCCTCCTCTTCCAAGTCCTCATGCACCAGCTCTTTCTCCCCACACTTTTGCTTAGGTTGCTACTGAGCCCTCTTTCTCCCTTACCTGTGCTGTGTCCACCTCATCTCTTATTTCTCCACTGAGATGTCACTGCTATGGGATCATACACAAGAGAGGTACCTGCACATGGGGAGTAGGATATAATTCTGTGTGGCTCTGTTTCCCCTAGTTTCCCAGTGAATTTGACAGAAAAAAGATGCTGCCTTTCCATCTCTTTCCTGCCGTCTCTCACAGATATGCTCTAATAACTGTGTATTTATTTCTTCACAGTACACCAGTACTCATGAGCACATTATCACACCATCACATTTATGGGCTGGTAACACTTGATATTTTTTTGAATGCAGTAAGCCTCAGAAGTGTTAGCATGATGCCTGCTGTAGCTGTTTTCTTGGACTACAACTGATTACACTTTTCCTCGCCAGAGGTAATGTGCTAGCAGAACAGCTAGCTAATAAGAAATTGGCTGGCTGGGCTTTTGCTAAACTGTCTTCAGGAGGCCAGTCTGTTGGCACAGTTGTATTTCCATATTTCTGTATTTTCCTAGGCTCCAGAAGCATTTCAGAGATCTTGCATGACATTTGATAGCAGGATGTGTGCCCAGATAAGCAAACCCAAAGATGGATTGAGGTTACTTGTGCTGGAATAGGGAAGGAGAGCAACAAGCTGACTGCTTCCAGAGGCAATTTAAAACCGAGCCTAACACTAAACCCATGGGCTATCTGACTTCAAGGGGGCCCTAGACAGTGTCAGGGTGCACAACACACCATGAAGTGAGCCATCCTTTCTATTAAGCAGCTTTTCATCTCTCTCATACCCAATTTACTCTGATAGAAACTAAGCCACAGCCATGCTACAAGTAAAATTCAGAGACATAATAAACATGTCACCAGTGGAAGCTGTGTTCAAAAAACAGAAGCTCCAACAAAGAGTGCAGAAGAGACCATACACTTTAATTAGCTGATGATCAACACTGTCTGGAGGGATGTGAAACAATAACTGGATGATACATGCTCTGTAAATGTCAGTCCTTGAGGCAGTCAGCAGCTGTGTTGCTTAGTGAGATGTATGGAGATATGGCTGCAGCCCAAGTGTACTAGCAGGTCATGCTCATAAACACCATGCAGACAGACAAACCCTTATGGGGAAGTGTCCTTTTGACATTATCCTTCACAGCTCTTTCAACACTGAATATCTTTTCGGTTTTTAGTCTTGGAGAGGGCAATGAAAAGAGAAGAAATTGTATCTCAGCAAAACATTCAGAAAAATGGTTCCAAAAACTCTCAAAAGCCTTCCCATTTACTTCAGAAATGTAGTATGTGACCTGCTGCTATTGCAGGATCCGATGCCCATCCAAACACAGTAAGAAATGGAAATATTTACTACTATGGCTTAAAAACGAAGGCAACAGCTTCCACTTGCATTACACCAAGGTATGTTGCCTTTGTGCCTACACTCCAGTTGCAGTGTATTAGCATTGCTCAGAAGGGACTCACAGTGGAAACTGAGGGACAGTGTTACAGCTCAGGGGTATTTGTAGAAATGTGTGGGAAGCCCTTACTTGTTTCCCACCCACATAGTGCCTAGCCCCAATCTACATTTTCCACATTCAACTTGTTTGAAGGCTAAAGTCACCCCCCAATCTCAACATAGAAGTGTATAGTTCAAAGAGAGGTCACGCACGTGCAGAGGACTTGAGCAGAAAACCCAAACTGGGCACACTGAAATCCTCTTTCTCTATGCTCTGTTCTCTGTACATTTCCAGTCACAAGCAGATAGCGGGGCGCATACAACTACCATTTGCTTATAGAGATACTGTCATATTAATAAGCTTAATTCATTACTGGTTATGATTTACTTACAATCATAGGAGCCCACACCTTGGCCTAGAATATCTACCTGAAGGAGTCACAGGTTCGAGAGTCACTGTGCTGATGGTTGAACTTGCAGAATGAGTCCAATCACAATGCAAAATGGATTCACATGAGCAGTAAAAACCATTCTTGGGGTCATCTTGATTCTGAGCAGCATGAGTCCCTCACTCCAGAGAGTCTCTTTTTCCAAACTTTGGTCCTCCATGAGTCTCTGTTACAAGAAAGGACACTTCAGGGAGAATGTACATTGGAAACGTGTTAGGTAACCACTGAGAACTTGAATGTGAGTCAGAGCTGGGAGGGCTAAACGATACCTTGCCTTTGACTTCAGCACACTTTACAATGGCTTTTATTTTACCATGCCTTCTCCTACTGTCCCCTAAACAGGATCAAGAACTCTGTGAATAACCAGTAGCAGTGTATTAGTTGTACTTAAATGCTTTTGCGCAGCTCAAAATAACTCTCAATTTAGGTATTACTAAGAAATACCTTTGACCTAAAGATCATCTGATCCACACCAGGATTGTGGCTTTTAGCATGAAATACACACACAAAAAAAAGTCTCTGCCCAGCAAAGATGAGGAAGAATCAAAAGGTATTTAAGGTATTTATTGGCATCGGCCTGACTGAGTAGTGTGCAACAGAACTAATCACCTGGGTCGAAATTGTGTCCATTCAATTCCTAGCACAGATGAAAAATACATAACAAAGCCAGTAAAATGATGGTTTCTTGGAGCAGGCAGCCCACGTATGGCAGACTCTGAGTCATTCTGAAGAGTTTTCCTCACCCATCTTTGTAAATGCTAAAGCCAAGGAGAGCATTTTCTTTCTGTAACTGTCAACTTTAAATCCTTCATTAGTTTAGGATTCAATCTTCTTCTCTGCATCAGATTTTCTGAGGCATCTCTGAGTACTATCATGCCAAAGGCAATTTTCTACTAATATGAACTGAATAAAAATATACAAAAGCTTTGTTTTCTTTCAATTTTTATATAGCTTAAATCTCTTAGAATTCAAAACAATCATATTCATTCAGCATCTTATAGATTTACCTTATAACAGGAACTTTGTCACCTAATTATAAAACCAGATACAATTTAATTAGAATTTACCCAATATTGGAGTTCCACTACTTGTTAAACTGAGCTGAAATTGCCTTTGCTATTAGGAAATCCAGATTTCCTGTGAAGCATATGCTTATTACTTAAATGATTTCAAAGATTTGGCAGAAGAGCTTAACATTGTTTTAGTGTACATTATTTGACAATTTACAGAATTCTGTCTTTTAAAATTATTTGTATTGATCTTCTGAAGTTCTTTTAATCCATCATTAAAACCCCCCAAAGAAACCCTAAATATGTTTCCTGGATGTCCTGGGTTCAGCAGTAGCAGTCATCTTTTCTCCTTCTTAGTAGCTGGTGCAGTGCAGTTTTTGACTTTCAGCCTGGGAACAGCACTGATAACACCAATGTTTTCAGTTGTTGCTCAGTAATGTTTACCCTGACCAATAACTTTTTCAGTCTCATGCTCTGCCAGGGAGAAGGGGAAGCCAGGAGGAAGCAGAGACAGGACACCTGACCCAAACTAGCCAAAGGGGTATTCCATACCACAGCACGTCATGCCCACTATATAAACCTGGGGGTAGTTACCTAGAAGGCCCAGATTGCTGCTTGGGTCAGGCTGGGTAATGGTAGGCAGGTGGTGAGCAGTTGTACTGTCTCCCCTCGTTATTTCAGTTATCAGTATTATTATTGGTGGTGGTAATAGTGGTTTTGTATTATACCTTAGTATAATAAGAGGGAAATAAAGCGGGGAATAAGCGAGAGGCTGCGTGGTTCTGAGTTACCGGCTGGGCTTAAACCATGACACTGGACCACAACAGAACGGGAATGCAGTGCTAGCTGATGCTCCTTACACAACAGCTGTAGTTCCAAGGTCTGTTTCTCTAAGAGATACTGTGAAAGGGGCTGCTTAGTCCTCTGGGACAAGAGGAAAATGTATTTCCTTGCTGGATAAGTATCATAGTTGACTTCCTTGAAGCTTTCTTCCAAGTCAAGATAAAGGAGGCCCCAAATGAGGACCTCCAGCTGGCATAAGGGGTACTTCAGTCAGGCAACGATCCAGAATATCAGAACTAAATCCCTTTGCAGCAGCCTCAGTAATGAATCTGTTTTCATATTCCTGACAGCTGAATCCCACCCACCAAACACATCTCTTGACATAATGAGTATCTGAAAGGGCTGTCAAACCATATCAACTATCATCTTTTTATCACTAATCTCTAAATCCAACCCTATTCAAGGGCACCCCTCTATCTGTGAAAAACAGAAAACACAAAGAAGAGTCTAGAGCGTTATTGCAACAACTACTGCCAGTGATGGAAGAACAGCTATTAACCCAGAGATTACTTTAAAAACTACATAGATTAACACAGATATGTTTATTCCATACCAGTTTCCATGACTGTGCCCCACTATGACATTTGATCATTACTCTCTTTGAAAGAGTTCACTTGCTACTACCTTTACAGCCCTCAGTGGGAGTCCCAAGATCATTATTGGTAATCATCTTCACACAGATATTCAAGCTGTGAACATGTGTGCTCCTCTTGCATAAGCTTAGAGCAGCCAAGAGAGGCGAGTTTTCTAGCCCTGAGAGCCTACATCGAGCTCTGCGTCGCCGGCTTGGCTCCCTGTGGACAGTCTCACCCAAGAGTACAACTCATTTCCCATTTCAAACTGCCAGATTTTCTACCCTTTGCTAGACCAAGCATGTTTAAACTGAAAGCCTCCACTTGCTTGCTCCCTTCCTTGCTCAACTGACAGGCTGGAAAGAGGAGTGCAACAAAGCCAGAGTCCAACTTTAGTATAAAATTGGATTTTTTGTACCTT